TTGAGAGAGAGAGAGAGAGACACGGAGACAGAACATGAGTGGGGGTGGGGGAGAGGGCAAGGGAGGCACAGAATCTGAAACAGGCTCCAGGCTCTGTGAGATTACAACCTGATCTGAAGTTGGAGGCTTAACCAACTGAGCCACCCAGGTGCCCCTAAGCCGAAGTTTTTAAATGACCTACAAGACAACCAACTATGACACTGGCTTCATTTTTTATCACTTTCTCTTTAACACTGATGCTTTCACAGTGTTCTCTCATTATCTTTATCATTATGCCAATTTCTGCTTTAGGGGCTATCAGTTGCTACCTCTTGACCTGGATATTTTCTCCTGGATGTCTACAGTGGTTGCCCACACTTCATTTAGGTATCTGCTAAACTGTCACTTCCATAAAGAGTCCTTTCCTATTAAGCATATATAAAATAGTTAGCCTTTATATCACTTGTGATCCAACTAACTTTGCTCTGTTTTTCCCTAAAATTCCTATTGCTACCTGATACGTAGTAATTTATGCCTAGAGCCTTTCTTTTGTCCCTACTAAATAGTATTCAATACGGTAGTTTTCTCAGGGACAGGACTTTGTTTATTTGCAATGTCAGCAACTCAAGAACCATAAATGGTATTTTGTAGGCACTCAGTATTTTTTTTATTTAAAAAAAATCATTGTGAATGAGTTATATAAAAATAGTGGCTATATGGAAAAACACAAGTAAACTTAAGAAAAAAAGCATAACTGAAGCATTCTAAGTATAATTTGACATTTAAGAAAGATATGGAAGGTTTTTAAATTATTCCTTTACTATGTGTTGTATTCTTCATAAAAGATACATGTAGACTATGGTACTAGTTCAGAGAAGGGAACAGTCACAGTGATTTTCAAAATATGGTGAGCGGAAACTCTATACTAAAAATTTTTTGATTTAGTGCAAGTGCATATTTATATTTAGGTTTGCATTATTCTCTTCCCACTGAGAACATTAACTAAAACCACCAAGAGAAATTTTGGTTGCCTATGACGATGGGTATTTCTGTCTAATTCAATAAGGAAGAAATGTGGACTTGGGGGAAACTTTATTAAATTGTTCTTGGAATATATTTCATTTATTTGTGATAAATATATCATCTCCAGAACTAGATTAGAAATCAATTTACCTTGCTGCATCTAGCAGCACATAGCTAAAAAATGGCTAAAGCTATATGATTCTTTTTTGGGTAGAAATTCTGGGTAAACAAGCAATGTGAGATGTTAATTTTAAATAACATATCTCCCTATATTAAATGTATACTTGATCTTCCCTTAATAAAAATGACAAATCAAATAAACAGAATTAACAAATGTTTTAAAACAAAAATGGAAAAAAACTATTCTCTATATGCTTGATACATATAACAAAATGGATACGACTGGTGAAATAATAGTAAAATAAGCAAGATTGATAAGTACATTATGGTATAATGTTCTTAAGTTAAAAAATGACTAACACTAAATAATATAATCTGATGAAAATAGAAGGAAAAGCAAAGTAATAAAACAGTGGTTATTTGGGTATGGTGGGGGATGCAGGCAAGTGATAAGGATGTAGCATCTAGGTGCACAAAAGCGGGGCACGTGGGTGGCTTAGTTGGTGAAGCAGCCAAATTTGGCTCAGGTCATGATCTCGTGGTTTGTGAGTTCAAGCTCCACTTCGGGCTCTGGGCTGAAGTCTGCTTCAGATCTGTGTCTCTCTCTCTGCCCTACCCTCCTCATGCTCTGTCTCTCAAAAATAGATGTTAAAAATTTTTTAAAAAATAAGTGCACAAAAGCTATTACAAATTAATAGTTCTTATATAAGGAAAAAGATTCTGATACTCTCACTGAAAATGTTTGTCAAAATTTATCTCTTATGAGATGAAGCAGTAATTGATTGATATAACTTAAATTGTGCCTTAAATGAAAAAAAAAAGTCTAATTTTTGAATGTATCAATTAGCATTCTCAAAATTATAAAATAGAACCTAATTTTAGGATATTAAAAGAGAATTACTTTAGATATGATACAGTATTTATCTTAGACACTGAAAACCAACTACTGCCAAGCATCTTATTCACTATGAAGCATAGTTCCTTAAAAAGAACAAAAACACCAACAGCAAGAAATTCTAAAACAACAACAAAATGTATCCAGCTGTATATGAAGATATTTGCAGATTATCTGCTTTTTATTGACAACTATTTATTTGCTTTATGCCTATTCTGGAAGGTTTGAAACTACAAACTTCCTTACAACGAATCTTAATCAATAAATTAAAGGTAAGATATTAAGCAATGATTTCTAATAAAAAATTCATGATTTCCCCTTTTTAATTCTATTTTGATACCTTACTTTTAAAAGGAAAGGGTTACCATTTCTTCTGTTGATTTGGGGTAAAATTCCACAGTGCCTGTAGCTGCTTTCTGCTGCTAGGAATTTTCCCTCAGATCTCATTTTCAATGTAGGTTACTTGTATGATATGAAATATTCTTAATGCATCAAGCAATTTGTCTGAAATCTTCTCTAATGGCTCCTAATTATTTTCTCCTATATTCGACTTGGTGGGTGGGATGAAATAGATAACTAAAAATAAGCATGTTTATGACAGTATTTTATTGACTTACTTAAATATATGTAAAAAATCTCACATGCTTTAAGTCCTTAAAATGCACCAGAAATTGTTGTGAACAATTTGTACATATTAACTCTTAAATGCTAACTTCCTCTGAGCTAAACAAGTGTTGCCTCCATGCAAAGAAGAAGAAAACAAGTCACAGATAAGTAAACTGTGCAAGGTCACATAGCTAGGCAGAAGTGGATCTGAAATGTGTAGTTTGGTTTAATTGCAGACCCTGTAGTCTTAACCATTAGGCTTTAATATATCAAGGTTTGTTAAACTATTATCACCTGAAGAATTAAGTATCTAGCAATGTGAGCACAACTAAACACATGACTGAGGGAAACAAATGTTCTAATGTTTAGTGCACTATTAAGTGCACATTAGAGAGACAGAGAGCAAGTGTGGGAGAGGGGTCAAGAGAGACAGAGAATCCCAAGCAGGCTCCATGCTGGGCATGGATCCCATGACCCTGGGATTAGGACCTGAGCTGAAACCAAGAGTCAGAACCTCACCTGACTGAACCACCTCAGCCCCCCATCCCCACCCCTAATCTCTAGTCTTTAAATGCCTAAACTTTGCAAGCACCAAACCAATAGTATACTTTGATCTGTGATGAACTCTGTTATTATGCTCCTTTGTGAACAATTGAAATGGATTTGGAATTTTAAACTGATTATGCTCACATACTGTAGGTTAAGTCAATATCAGTGAAGAAACTTGGGCTTCTTATAATATAGCTACATTAAAAATGTTGGGAAAAAAGAAAATTGAGTCATTTGATTTTGGGTTCTGACTAGTGCCCTACCAAAAAATAGAAATGTTCGTATTTTTATTCAGCCATCCATGTATACTTCTCATTCCCAATACCTATGTTTCTGAGCCTATGAAACACAATAATAACAACAACAAAATCATTTATTTTATGTCAAATAAGAGGGATAGGAAGGTGTGAGAAGGAAAACTCACACTGTTCCAACCTCAGAGTTTTCAGAATCCAGAGAACTCAATCTTAGGTTTGCATATATTCAGTTTGAAAGAATAATCACATAGATTTTAGGTGCTAGATCAGAAGTCAGCAAACTGCAGTCCAAACGCCTCATGTGACCTTCTGATTGTTTTCATGTTGAACTAAGAAAGTATTTTTTACCCTCAACATTGAAAAAAATCAAAAGAGTTGTGTTGTCTGATGCATGAATATTATAGGAAATCAAAATTTAGTGGCTCTATATAAGGCTTGTTTTTTTTTTTTTTTTCAAACACTCAGCACATTCATTCCTTTATGTATTGCCTATGGCTGTTTTTGCAATACATGTACATATTTCAGATGTTATGAAAGATGGTATAAATTGCAAAGACTAAAATATTTGCTATCTTTATAGAAAGGTTTGTTGCTTCTCACAAATACTACCCTTATGAAACGTTAACTGGGGAATCATCCTGCCATGGGAATGAAGCTAATCTCCATTCCTCTGAGGTGAAGCTTTTCTGAATAACTCAGTTAACTCCACTTGATTAGATATGCCCATTTTGAACACTGGCGGTGATTGATTATTACAATCTTTATTTATAATACTGTGTTTCTGTTGTCAAATATATAGTATTTTTAGCATATATGCACTATTATACTATGTAATCATGGTGTTAGTTTGAAAAAAAACTAAAAGTAATTCTTATCCACAAATACTAGCACTTTTAAATAGAAATAAGTAATTTATAATTTATTTGTTAAACCATGGACTATGTCTTTGGATGTAATTTTTAAAAAATTCTAATGTTAGAATAAATAAAAGTTGGGAATAAAGCTAATCCTGGGGGATTTAAGTATACCTCACATTTCCCAAGAGTAGTTTTTCCCCCCGATTATATTTTGGGGGACTCTCTTATCTTGTTTTCTTAGAGAAGCTTAATTTTCTTGAAGCTCACAATATTAAAATTTAAATTCATATTGATGACCTAGATTAAAACAAAATAAAACAAAACAATGGTTATCCAAGGTAAACTGTTCTACCATATAAATGAGAACTCTAGATTCTACACTATTAGAACAAAACTCTCCCTCAAGACTTAATTTTCCATCAGAAAATTTTCTGTATTGGCTATATGAAAACTTCACTACTTCTAAAGTTAAGGTACACATCTAATAAAGAATGGTATAATCTCTTCATACATTAGTATGAATAAACTTTTTCACTGACTTTCATTGTATGATGCAATTTGGCTAGTAAAATTAATAATACACTGTCTATTCAATTGTTAAAGAGTTCTCAGGTAGCCTTAATCATATTCTCTCACTATATTTATTTCATTATTTTCCACAAAGTTTTCTTTTACTGAAAAGATCATTCACAAAATGCCATATCCATAGATAAAACAAATATGAAATGCTTTGTGTATTTGCGTGTCATTCTTATACAGGGGCCATGCTAATCTTCTCTGTATCGTTGTGATTTTAATATATGTGCTACAGAAATAAGCACTCTATTTTTTATTTCTTTTTTTAAAAGTTTATTTATTCATTTTGAGAGATACAGAGACAGCACTAGTGGGGGAGGGGCAGAGAGAGAATCCTAAGCAGGGACCATGTGGCCAGCACAGAGCCCAATGCGGGGCTCAAAACAACGAAGCTAAGAGATCATGACCTGAGCAGAGACCAAGAGTAGGACTCTCAACCGACTGAGCCACACAGGCACCCTCATATTTTTATTTTTAATGACTTCATTTATACCCACAGTTTCCTTATAACTTATATATTACCTTAGCTCTTCAAAAGCTACATTGACAGCTTCAAATTCCGTCTTGAGCACCAAACTCGTGTCCCCCAGTGTCCGCTGAATATTCCTCTGCAAGTTTGTTGAGCAACTTAATCTCATAATGTTCAAATCTGAATTCATTTAGCTTTCCCTTTCTTCTCCAAATTAACTTCATGTTGAGTATTCCTAATTTCAGTGAATGGTATCAGTGTCCTATCACTTTTTTGAAGCTAAAATATCAGCATGACTCTCGACCTTTTCCTTACACTTTCTCCTTATTGCCATGCCTTTCCTATCTCTGCACACTGAAACAATTGGAGATCTCCAACGCTGGCTCCTAAGTATCTCCTTCTTTAAGTACTAAAAACTCTTTTCTGTTTATTTCAACAGTCACATTCTCAGTTTGATTCATCATCTCTTATGCTCTTGATGTTTATATTCATCTCTTTACTAGATTCCTTGCCTAAATTCATTCTCAAACTATCCATCTTCCATAATGCTTGCACAAATGGCTAGATAAATCAGCTTCATTTTTTAAAACAAGTTTGCTTTAAATAATTCAGTACACATTGCCCAAATTAAGTCCAAATATTGTTATGACATAAGGAGCTCTGAGTCTTCAACCTATATCCTCAAAAATGGATGTATTCTTACTTAATTGTATCCTATAATTCAGCCTTGCTGAATTAGGGTCATTTCCCAGCACACGTTAATTTCTTCCTTGTACTTATGGGCTTTTTACCTTTGGATAAAAAGCCCTATCGAGTTTTTCCTCTTGACTTTCTACCTGACTAATTCCTGCTGGATCTTGAAAACCCAGCTTAATTGTAATATCATCTTAAAAGTTTTTCTAGTGTTGTCAGTGAAAATGGCAGAGTAAAGAAATCCAAAAGTTCATCCTTCCATAAAGGCAACAAAATCTTATAAAAACTGTCAGAATCAACCTTTTCGGAATTCTGGAAACAGACCAAAAGCTTGCAACAAAGGCAAGACTTAAGTAAGAAAAGTCATCTGAATCTTAGTAAGAACAGAGAGCTTGGTGGTATTTTAACTTACCCTGTTCTCATTTCACAGTCCCCAGTTAATCCATAACTCTTATACAGGTACCAGTACCAGAGGACAGAAAAGAACTCATTCCCAAAGAATTGTGGCTATTCATTTGGACCTGTCTAATGGCTCTCTGAAAGACCAGCTGAGAGGGTTTGCCTTTATCATGTCTAACTTTGGAACTCTACAGGTGCTAAGGCAGATTTCTGGAGCATTTGCCAAAAACATTTATAGGGAGATGTATATATATCTGAAACAATGGATAATATTTGGAGAAAAATCACTCACTAATCGAGGAGCATGGGAGAAAAGACTAGGGAATGAGATGCTTTAGGGAAACACGTGTTTTCAAAAGCTTCAACATATTCCTGGGAGTCTTGAAAGTCATGTGAATTTCCAGAGAAGGGCACATGCTCAAGAAAGGATAAAGAAGGCCCTAAGCTCACTCTGACTGACCTTCAGGATCTATACATGGAGGAAGTAAAGGCTAAGGCAGAGTTGTAAACTGCTTAGCTGGGGGTTTAAGACAGGCCCAGCATACATACACGCCACTGAAAAAGACTGGGAGTTTATCGTTTTCAGGTGTTTAAGCAAATTGTGTCCATTCTCTAGCTCATCACCAACCAACAGAAATATTAGTGGCCACACATGACAGAGAATAGGGACTTTACAAATTAGTTCAGAAAAGTTACCAAATCAACAAACAATAGCAACAACAAGGAACAACAACAAAGCCTGGGGTATGGGGTAATCTGATTTCCAGAGTTGCCAAATTATTATATTAAAAACATTCAGTTTTCAACAAAAATATGATGCATACAACTAATAGGATCACATATGGCCCATGAACAGGAAAGGGGAAATTCAATAAATAGAAACTGCCCCTAAGTAAGCCTATATTTGAACTTACTAGTTGAAGACTAATCTACTTGTATATTTCTATTTATAGGAAATGTCCAGAATTGGCAAATCCATTAAGACAAAATAGATTATTGGTTTCTAGAGGAATTAGAGGGGAAAATAAGGAGTGACTCCTTAAAATGGGTATGGGGGCTCTTTTTGAGGTAATTAAAACTTCCTGGAATTAGGTAGTAGTGATGGTTGTACAATATTGTGAATATGCTGCATAACACTGAATTGTATACTTTAAAATGTTTAAAGCAGAGAATCTCATATTATGTGAAAGTATCTCAATAAAATATGAGTTCCTACCCCCACTGAAAAAGCTTTCAGAACTTCTCCACATTCGGTTTGGTCTTCTCCATAGGTATCTTGGGTTCCTGTTACATATCTCTAACAGGTTCTCCTGAAATTGCTATTTCTTTGCATGTCTTTTCACCTTGACTGTGGATTCATAGGTATTAGTGATAATACTTCTCAGTCTGGTAGCTAGAAGTGTGTTTGAGGTATAAATCCACCACGCTGGAAAAACTCTATAGTAGAACCTTGTACATGCCTGCTAGGGATTTGCTGTGATCATAAGGCAGATTGAAAATTAGGACGGTAATTTCCCTGAAAGGAACTGTCCAGAAGGACAGTAAATAGGATATGCTATAGCTATTCACTTTCAGAGGTGGTCAAAAAGAGCCACCCTTTGGAGTGGCCACAGAGAGCCCTAGTCTAAGCCATCAAAGGCCTTGCTATAGCTTGAAACATTATAAGCACAAGTGAAACAGTTCAACTACAACACAAGATTCATAAAATTAAAATATAGGTTATTACACACTTTATACAAGAAAACCAGTAAAATAGGAGAGTTGATGCTATGGAAAGAGCTAATGGGGAAATTGTGACAGGATCTGGGCCTGAATAATAGTTATTTAAACCTTCAAAGTGACTCACCATATCCCCATCTGTATATGGAATTCTATCATGTCCAATTGGGTTGTTATCAAAATAAATGTGGTTAACAGATGTCTTCAAAGTCTAAGACAATTAATTGGATATTATGGAACAAGAATAATTTGAAAATTATCATGTTTGCAAGATTTGATAACTAGAAAAACTGTAGTGCTTGTAATAGAATGAGGAAGACAAGAAGGTAGATCAATTTTGAGTAAAAGATGATCACAAAGATGATTGGACATGTTATTATGAAGATTACCTGGAACATAGATAAAATATGCCATAACTCACAGTAAGGACAGACCTTTCTTAATATAAACCAAGAGCTTTTGCAAAAAGAAGTAGATTCTCTTCAAATTCACTAGGTTTTCTTGCTATAAATAACAGCCAGAAATTCATGTAACAAATAAGGAACACATTTTAGCCAAATTATTTTCTTTTTGTTGTTGTTGTTTCAGTATATTATTATTATTATTATTATTATTATTATAAACTTAATGCTGCAATCCAGCTAGACTTAGAGGGGAGTAAGGAAAACATGGAACCCATAGAACTACAGGAAGAACACAAAGATTATGGGATATTTCCAGCAGATGGGGTTGGAGGGGTGCTCTCCTGAGCTACAGTAGGAATGGTACCATAGTTAAGATAAAAGTCATATTTACTAGATTTGTCCACATTCAGCAATGGTGATCTTCTTGTTTTGTCATTCCTGGACCCAAAGCATTCCATTGCTTCCACAATATTCATTCCCTTTTATATCTTGCTAAAGATCACATGCTTGCCGTTCAACCACTTAGTCTTGGCAGTACAAATGAAAAAGTAGGAATCGTTTTTGTTGGGTCCACCATATACCATGGACAAGATGTCAGGAGCCATATGCTTCAGGATAAAATTTTCATCATCAAATTTCTCCGCCTGGATGGACTTGATGTCACCATGCTGGCACATTAATCCCTGAATAATCCTGTGAAAGCAGGAGCTTTTATAACCAAATCCTTTTCCCCAGTGCTGAGAGCATGAAATTTCTCTGCTGTCTTTGGAACTTTGTTTAGAAACAACTCAGAGGAGATGCAGTCAAAGGGCTCACACACAGTCCATGGTGATGTAGAAAAACACGGTGGTGTTGACCATGACTGGGTGGCAGGGATGGCATGGGGGTGGCGGCATCCACAAAGCAAGCAAATTTTCTTCTAATTCATATTTCTAATAATTGTTGTGATTATTAATTCACTAAGTCTGTAATTAATATTTATCAAAGGCCTAATATATGCTGAGAAAAGATGCTGAGGATAGATGGAGAAATACTATTTACAAAGATCCCACCTTTATGCAGCATACATCATGATAAAGTTAAATACGTCAATCAAAGAAGTTCCTAAATTGTGATTTAAGAATATCAGTGAGTATGTAGACTGTAAAGCTGTCATCACCTAACTTGTTTGCCCTCCTGTCCTCAGCAGATTAATTCACTGTTATTATCAAATTCATGGCAAGTCCTATATGCTACCACCAAGTGGAAGCATTTTCACTAGACTACTCGTTTTTTTTTTTTTTTAGTTTTTTTCTTATTAATGTTTTTTATTTATTTCTGAGAGAAAGAGGAAGAGAGAGATAGCATGATCAGGGGAGGGTCAGAGAGAGAGGGAGATACAGACTCTGAAACAGCCTTTTGGCTCTGAGCTAGCTATCAGCACAGAGCCCGACACAGGGCTCAAACCCACTAACTGTGAGATCATGACCTGAGCTGAAGTCGGACACTCAACTGACTGAGCAACCCTGGGGCCCCTAGACTACTCAGTTTTGAGCCACTAATACTGCTTCCTAAGTTTGTT